TGAATGAATGGTTTGGGGAAAAAAAGTGCCAACTAAAATCAGTTACATTAACAATCGAGAAAACTGCAATACGACTAGATTCTTACCTTAAGAGTAATTTGTTAATGAAGCCGACTACACTGGCACGCTGCATGCGCATGCAACCATCGTGCACAGTTTATTAAAAAGGACCCATATTAATTTCCTATGTTATTTCATACTTCGCTGGGCATTTTTTGTTTAATCTTTTGAAATCAGTTTATTTCAGCATTTAATATTCTATAAATCTATAAATTCCATGATCCATGAATATTCAAAATATATTTTTACAATGACCACAAATTAATATATATATATTTTTTTTCCCCATAGGTTTTGTGTTACTACATCAAGTTTACACACATGGGTCCAAAATGACCCATCTATGCAAGCATGACATTTTGTTAAAATATTTATTTTTAGCAGTTATTTAGACTAACATATTTAACACTAAACTTGTTTATTTGCCACTTTGTCACACATAACATACACACATCACTGACAACCGGTAACACTGAAATTGAACTGTCTGTAGTGCAACTGTAGTATACAGTAGTATGTAGTATATATATGATGTATACCTGTGTCCGGTTGGTGGCTGTGTTTTTTTTTTTATCCCACCCATTGCCTCTGTAATATGGTTTTGAAGGTGGGGTGTGCCCTCCAAGCACCTCATGTGGCATGACAAGCTATGACTATATGTTAATATTTTTTATCTATGTTTTGTAGATTAAGTTATAAATCATTTACAAGTGATTAGATGATGATGAACTAATCATTTACAAAACATGACTATATGTTCACAAATGATTAATTAATATGCTAACGATTTACACATCTGTCATACGTTATCTTAAAAAATAGCATCATGAAATAATCAAGCAGATCCTTAGTAAATGGTTGATAGTTATTAGTTAAGTTACTAGTTAATATATTATTAATGACATAAATCATTGAAATGTCAACATTGTACTAGTATCTCAATAAACATTTGTTAAACTTGAACAAATGATGATTAAACCATTAGTAAATGATCAGTATACAATTCATGTATGTTTCGTTAAAGTTGTAAGCTGGTCTGTTAAAAAGCACAAAAATGCAATTATGCTAAAACTATTTTTTAAAAGAATAATAAATTATTTGCTGTCAAGTGAATAAACACGTAAATGAGTTACAGTCATGGGTTTCCAGTGGGTTTTCTCTCATCAGCACAGACTTGTGTTCAGTGTGGAGTGTGTGGGATCCAGTGATAATGTGAACCGGTTTTACCCTCCACTGAAGTGCACAGCGTTAAAATACTCCATGTGTGTCAGAAAGACATCGGTCTATACCCTCACCAGTCAGCCCGTACACTGCAGTACACACTACAAAGTATTCAAAACCTGTTGTGTAAATGCATTAAAATAAATCATTTACAAAGCTTTCTGCATCCCCTAATCTAAAGTGTGAAACACTCATCAGTTGTAAATGTGTTACTCATCATTCGTAGATTTGTAAGTGTTTTACAAACCTGCCGGTTACAGGTTGTGTGTGTGTACACACTAGGGTGAAAGATCTACGAATGATGAGTAAAACATTTACAACTGATGAATAGTTTACACTTTAGATTTAGGATGCAGAAAGTGTTGTAAATGCCTTGTATACACCTACAGATAATTTGTAACAGGTAAGAAAATCTATAAATGATGAGTAACACATTTACAACTGATGAGTGTTTCACATTTAGATTAGGGGATGCAGAAAGCTGTGTAAATGATTTATTTTAATGTGTTTACACAACAGGTTTTGAACACTTTGTAGTGTGTACTGCAGTGTAAGGGCTGACTGGTGAGGGTTAGACAGATGTCTTCTCTGACACACATGGAGTATTTTAACGCTGTGAGATAATAGTACAGTGTTGACATTTCAATTATTTATACTGTAAGTGATTAATTATATATTGAGTAGTAACTTATTAACCATTTACTATCATTATCTAATCACTTGTAAATGATTTATAACTTAATCTACAAAACATATATAAAATATTAACATATCACTTATTAATCATTTATGAACACATAGTCATGTTTTGTAAATGATTAGTTCATCATTAACTAATTACTGACTCACAACTGAACGTTATTATAAAGTGTTACCAATATTTATATATTGTTTATAATAGGTATATTTATAATTACTTACAAATCTGAATATGTAATGTTATATAAATTGAATGTGATTACATTTATGTGATTAGTAAACATAGTGTAGAAACACACGAATGATTCGCACGAACATAGACGCATTTAGGCAGATCGGGGATTGGCGCATTTCCTTAAAAATGAAAGTAACATTAATCCTCTGCGCCTTCAGTGGCTCAGATATCTTCAGTTTAATCAGGTTTATAAAAGAAAGATACAGCTTTACAATTCTCTCTGAAAATAGCCAAGCTCCTGGAGGCAAGCCGTGGGTGGAGCTGAAGAGGCGAGCACTTTCGGGCCGATTGGCAACAAACACAGATACTTGATGCAGATTAAAGCTCCTAGTCATGACGGGGATCTTTTATCGCTGGGATTGCTCCGTCTTTCAGTATCAAACGATGTGCAAATCCAGTGTCAGAATGTACCTTGTTATAAAACATTCGTCACCAAAATGACGGGAACAAACAATCACGCTTGAGAAACTCCGTTGCTGCCTTGGAAAAACAAATTGCATCCACTGTTCACATAACACTGAATAAGGTTATCTCTTGTGAACCATGAACGAAACGTGTTGAGCGGCGCACTCTGCTCTCGCTCGGGTCGCTGAGTGTGCGCGCGCATAACAATCCAACTCTCAACTAACCAACTAAGGCCGAATCCCAATTATATTTTATACCCCTACCCCTTCCCCTTGTCCTTTGAAACAGAGTGTCAAGGGGTAGGGGTGAAAATATTCCCCTAAGAATTGGGACACCACTACTACACGTCATCATACGTCGTCTAGCTCCTACAGTACACACACCTATACTGGTGTGCATTAGACCCTTACCGTTCTATATTAATGCGCTGCTTACTGACACACTGACACACACACCCATACATATCGGAGATCGCACAGCTCACACATCCAGGAGCAAAGAAACTTGTCAACGCTGCCCCACGACTTTTATTAATAACAGTTTAAATACTGAATCGCTACATTATATTTTCCAGCAACGAGAGGATATAATCGCTGTTTTTGAAGTAAACTCACTCTAAAAAGAGAAACGCACAGCCGCGCATACACGCAACTTTCATCTCTCTCTCTATCTTTCTCTCTCTCTCTCGAATTGGCGATATTTGAGAAAAGGGTTTAGCGATTTCTAATTATTGGGGGGACTAGACCCCCTCAATGTCTATGGTGGTTATCGCCCTGATCAGACATAAAAATATGTTGTGGCAATGTCGTGCAGTCAGTAACGTTAATGGTTTTACATTAGCAAAACATAGCGATTTTTTTGCAAACATTTATTTGAATAACATGACCGTAATTTGAACATATGATTGAATATAACCTAAAACAAATGATTACTTTTCATTAAAATCTTTATTAATGTCAATAATGCTTACATTTATTGGATAACCATAGCAACATGCATGTTGCCAATAACCTGAGAGCATTAAAAGGAACTTAGCTTGTTCGAGAGAGTGAAACATAGTAGCTGTGATGTGGATGCTTGATCTCTTGATATCAACTGGGGATGAAGTTATCATCTGAACTTGTTCTTGAGTCGGTCACAACTTGTGGAGTCCATTTCAATAATGTAGCAATGCATGAAGTAATGCTAACTCGGTCACTTCCGAATCAGGCAGCTTATGATAAATGCGGTGAATTCACGTGTTCAAGTTAACGAACTTGAATGAATCGGAGGTGAGTCCATTTGGGAAACGAATTCCACTCACTAAAATCCCGATTCCAAGTGATGATGGTGTTTTGCCTGCCGAATTCGCCATTTAATTAGCCATTGAGCAATGCGAAAACTGCCGATAATACTGAAGGACCTTATATATGGATGCTTAGGTAACATCTAATTTAAATGTCTTGCTCGTGCCTATCATTAACGTTTTTGACCATTTCCACAGTTTCAGTTTCCTTGGATTATTATTATTTTTTGTCCATTAATGGATCAGTGATTAATTATTAGCATTCCTAATTGAGAAGTCTATAATTAACTATATCTCCTGGGTGTTCTTTTTTTAATAAAGGGTTTAACTGCCAGCTTAAAGGTTCTTGGGACATGACCTAAAGAAAGTTAGCAATATTGTGAAGAGCAGCGTGTTTCAACTCTAGCCCTCAAGGTCCCCTTTTCTGCAAACGTGAGCTTTCAAATAGAGCTTTCTGCCTTCAGCTTTCAAATAATACAGAAGACCTTGATTAGCATGTTCAGGTGTGTTTGATTAGGGTTGGAGCTAAACTCTGAAGGAAAGGGGGTTTCAAGGGCCTGAGTTGAGAATTTCCGGCAGGTGTATTGGGACAAGTAGGACAGTGGCCCTTCAGAGCAGGTTTGGATACCTCTGGTACAGGATCAAGCATACTGTACATGTTGTTGATTTTGATGCATTACCTAAATGTTTTGATGTTTGTTGTATTGTGCCATTAAACTGGGGATAACTTTTGTTTGTTTTTTTACCTTAGACCTAGCATTGAAAAAAGAGAAAGAAGTACTCAATGACATTGAAGAGAAAGATCAATACGAGAATCTGCATGATTTCACAGCTGGAAAAAAATATTTTAGGTGTTCACAGACTGAAAAGCTTTTCACACGAAAAAAAGCTCAAAAGACTGGAAAAACTAGAAGTGATTTCACTTGCCTTCGGTCTGAAAAGAGTTATTATCAACAAGGAAACCTTAAAGTCCACATTGGGGAGACCCCTTTCTGTTGCTAACACTGTGGAAAAAGTTTCACTTATAAAGTAAGTCTTGACAGGCATATAAAAATTCACACTGGAGAAAAGCCTTACACTTTTGCTCAACATTGGAACCTTGAAGTCCACATGAGAATTCACACTGGAGAGAAGCCTTTCACCTGCCAACAGTGTGGAAAAAGTTTTGCTCAACATTGGAACCTTGAAGTCCACATGAGAATTCACACTGGAGAGAAGCCTTTCACCTGCCAACAGTGTGGAAAAAGTTTTGCTCAACATTGGAACCTTGAAGTCCACATGAGAATTCACACTGGAGAGAAGCCTTTCACCTGCCAACAGTGTGGAAAAAGTTTTGCTCAACATTGGAACCTTGAAGTCCACATGAGAATTCACACTGGAGAGAAGCCTTTCACCTGCCAACAGTGTGGAAAAAGTTTTGCTCAACATTGGAACCTTGAAGTCCACATGAGAATTCACACTGGAGAGAAGCCTTTCACCTGCCAACAGTGTGGAAAAAGTTTTGCTCAACATTGGAACCTTGAAGTCCACATGAGAATTCACACTGGAGAGAAGCCTTTCACCTGCCAACAGTGTGGAAAAAGTTTTGCTCAACATTGGAACCTTGAAGTCCACATGAGAATTCACACTGGAGAGAAGCCTTACACCTGCAAACAGTGTGGAAAGAGTTTCACTCATAAAGGAAGCTTTGACAGGCACATAAGAATTCACACTGGAGAGAAGCCTTACACCTGCCAACACTGTGGAAAAAGTTTCAGTCATCAAGGAAGCCTTAGCCACCACATGAGAATTCACACTGGAGAGAAGCCTTACACCTGCCAACACTGTGGAAAAAGTTTCAGTCATCAAGGAAGCCTTAGCCACCACATGAGAATTCACACTGGAGAGAAGCCTTACACCTGCCAACACTGTGGAAAAAGTTTCAGTCATCAAGGAAGCCTTAGCCACCACATGAGAATTCACACTGGAGAGAAGCCTTACACCTGCCAACACTGTGGAAAAAGTTTCAGTCATCAAGGAAGCCTTAGCCACCACATGAGAATTCACACTGGAGAGAAGCCTTTCACCTGCCAACAGTGTGGAAAAAGTTTTGCTCAACATTGGAACCTTAAAGTCCACATGAGAATACACAATGGAGAGAGTGCCTTCACTTGCCAACACTGTGGAAAAAGTTTCAGTCATCAAGGAAGCCTTAGCCACCACATGAGAATTCACACCGGATAGAAGCCTTACATCTGCAAACAGTGTGGACAAAGTTTCAGTCATAAAGGAAGCCTTAACTGGCACATGAGGATTCACACTGGAGAGAAGCTTTACACCTGCCAACAAAGTGTAGAAGTAGTTTCACTCAAAGAGGAAACTTAAACAGGCACACATGAATTCACACAGAATAGAAGCCTTACACCTGCCAACAGCATTTAGAGAGTTTTACTCAACATGGAAACCTTAGAGTCCACATGAGAATTCACACCGCAATAAAACCCTTACACCTGCCCCCTGCAAAGAGAGTAGAATTGTCAAAGATGGACCAGTACCAACTCTTTGTCCAACTTCGTATTCAGAACATGTAAGTACAGCACGTTATATTTTGTGAATGTGCTTGTTAGCACGCTGTATGGTTAATGTGGCTTAAGTTACCACTGTCTCTGACTGTATTCATGAAGATCAGAGCTATGTCGTTAGTTTTATTTTTAAGAAGTAATAAAATTGTGCTTCTGAATTTTACAGGCCGTGAGCATTTTGGGGTTAAAAATCACAAGCTCGTCGGCAGCGCGTCGACATGCAGCACCGTTGTGCTTCGGGCAAGGCGAGTTCGAGTCCCGGCTCACTGACCTTTCCCCATCCCGTCCCGCTCTCTCTCTCCCACTTCGCTTCCTGTCAACTTTGATCTGTCCTATCAAATTAAAGGCAAAAACGCCAAAAATAAATCTTAAAAAAAAAAAAAATCACAAGCTCTTGTTTCTGTGAATACAGTAAGAGACAATGGCAACTTTAGCCACATAAGCATATTCAGAAAGGCTTTTGCAAACACACTTTATAAAGTTCGATACTTGTGTTGTGGATATGAGGGTGGACCACGAAGAGTTGGTACTGATCCATCTTTGAGAAGCAACTTTTCTGAAAATTCTGCGTTGTACTTGTGTGGCAAGTGTATTATTGTTACACTAGTTTATTGAAATTATTATTATTAACTAATGGCAGGTTAATGTGGCTTAAGTTACCACTGTCTCTGACTGTATTCATGAAGATCAGAGCTATGTCGTTAGTTTTATTTTTAAGAAGTAATAAAATTGTGCTTCTGAATTTTACAGGCCGTGAGCATTTTGGGGTTAAAAATCACAAGCTCGTCGGCAGCGCGTCGACATGCAGCACCGTTGTGCTTCGGGCAAGGCGAGTTCGAGTCCCGGCTCACTGACCTTTCCCCATCCCGTCCCGCTCTCTCTCTCCCACTTCGCTTCCTGTCAACTTTGATCTGTCCTATCAAATTAAAGGCAAAAACGCCAAAAATAAATCTTAAAAAAAAAAAAAATCACAAGCTCTTGTTTCTGTGAATACAGTAAGAGACAATGGCAACTTTAGCCACATAAGCATATTCAGAAAGGCTTTTGCAAACACACTTTATAAAGTTCGATACTTGTGTTGTGGATATGAAGGTGGACCACGAAGAGTTGGTACTGATCCATCTTTGAGAAGCAACTTTTCTGAAAATCCTGCATTGTACTTGTGTGGCAAGTGTATTATTGTTACACTAGTTTATTGAAATTATTATTATTAACTAATGGCACTAATGCCAGAGGCTTTTATTTTGAAATTTGTATAAGGAAAAACCGTGATGAATGGTCATGTGATCACAAGCACAATACTGTTGTTATTTTTATATTTCTTTATACATTTATAATTTGTATTTCTTTGTTATTGGTTTTTCTTTTCCCTTTGTATGAAATTGTTAATCTATATAAAATGTTCAGGAAGCACTGTTCACGTAAGTTATGTCGTGTGTAAGTGTGAGGGTAGAGCTGATGTAATTTCTGGGAGCCCTCTCTCTTTTGCGGGATGTCATTGCGATGAGAGGTATGTTTTTATCAGCTTCTCGAAAAAGTGTTCAAATATGGTTAATTGCTTACTGTTTATGGATTTTCTGCACAAAATGTGTTTTGTTTGTTAACTTTTCTTTATTAAGAGATTAGTACTCCAAGTATAAACATTGTAAGAGTATGTTTAATCGAAACATGAATTTGTGTACTACACGTGCTGGATGCTGATGAGTTTCGTTATATGACGATGCATACTTAGATAAAACTTTTACCTCTGTTTTACCGGTGTTATGAGTTACACGTTTATGATTGTGTGAAGTTGTATCTGTTTACTTTTAATGATCCATGTGAGGTTTGAATGTATTTCCTGTTATATGAATGTACATTGTAACAGTATGCAATGATTGACAGGACGGATGGTGTCTGTTATACTTTGATACAGGTATGTAAATGGATCATTATAGTATTTGTTTTCTTTTCCTGTATTTTCTTTTATTATTGTATTTGTTTCTATAATCGTTATTGTATGCTATAACGCTCTCTTGCATGGGATGTCATTGCGATGAGAGGCACGGCTAAACCAGATATTCTCCTGTTACTATCTGATGGTGTCTGTTATACTTTAATACAGAAACTGAGAAGCCGAAATAAACCACATGACAACCACATCATGGTGTAAGGTCTCCTTTATTATCGACACACACAACGTAGAAGATAACCCACTACAATTGCAAAGCAGTCCAGTGTGCAATGGTTCACACAAACATACAAATTTAGCTAATGTCTTGGCACACAATTGAAAAGAATCCACTGCATCCTTAGTGGCTCAGATTCTGGGAGTTTTTGCAATTATTGCAGCCAAAAACAAGAGTTACAATGTTTAAATAGCTGAGACATTTTATGACTAGCTGCTCTAGCGAGGGTATGAAGATGGTGGACTGTGTGCGGCTCACTCAGGGTGGGATCTGTGCTAATAGGGCAGAGATTGTCACCAGTGGGCGGGGCTTTTCCATACTATGGCGTCACCGTAGGGAGAAAACTGGAACAGCCTGTTCTCAGACAATGCTTCTGATTTATGGGGATTATAAAAAAGGAGTAGGTGGATTTTTATGATTATAGGGTGGTTCTTTACACACATGTTCAAACACCACGTAAAAGAACAAAAAAGTGAAAAAAAAAAGTGACGTGACATGTGGCCAAGTATGGTGACCCATACTAGGAATTAGTGCTCTGCATTTTTAACCCATCCAAAGTGCACACACACAGCAGTGAACACACACACACACACACACACACACACACACACCCGGAGCAGTGGGCAGCCATTTATGCTGCGGCGCCCGGGGAGCAGTTGGGGGTTCGGTGCCTTGCTCAAGGGCACCTCAGTCGTGGTATTGAAGGTGGAAGAGAGCGCCGTACATTCACTCCCCCCACCTACAATCCCTGCCGGTACGAGACTCGAACCCGCAACCTTTGGGTTACGAGTCCGACTCTCTAACCATTAGGCCACGACTTCCCCCATAAATAGGTCCTCTTTAATTAATTTGTGTATTTCGGTTAATAACGGTTCTGGTTCTCTGGTTCATAATAATCCTCTGACACGTGCAAGTGAAAATCACAGTGCAGCATAAATGATAAATCTGTTAGGCAGTAACCAATGAAAAAATTGTATACTTGAGCACAATTTATTAGTATGTACTTTGGTATAACTAAATGTATTTGTGGCACGCTATAAATTGGTATACCTAAAGTCTGTTAAATTGGAACAACTAATGTCCTAAATGCATTTTAGTTGTCTAAAAGTAGTGCTGAAGTTCAACTAAATTTGTATTAAATATACTTGTTTGTGCTAAAGTGGAAATATTCCAAGTAAACTTAAATACACTTTAACTATCAATTCTTGTATTTAAGTTGTGAAATGTAGAATTCACTCAGCATGAACTTCAAATGTATTATGGTGACATTACAATTGCAATTCAGTTACACTGTAAGAGTGTTGAACATACATTAATATTATACTGATAACAAACTGAGGTCATACTATACCTTTACTTTCAGTGACTTTAAAACATTGCAATGGCATTCCAAGTACACTTAGTGTGCTTATAGAAAATAATACAAAGTAATCATTATAAATACTGGCACAGCTGAAGAATTTGCCTTTTACAGACACCACCAAATATACCAGTAACTTACCCTGTGAACATCGAGACATTGGGAACGTCCATAACATTTCTCTGCCCATTGTCTCTGTGCACTTCAACTCCCAATGTAGGCCTACTGCACAACTGCTCCTGATGTAAAACGCAATGAAATGGTTTGGCGATCTGACAGTCTCGCATTACACTGTGGATTTAAATGTGATGCATAAATTGAAATAATTGTAATATGTTTTTTTGTTGTTACTTTCATGCAGTTAATGTTTCTGGATTTATTTGGAATTTTAAAATTTTTGTGCAATTTTTGAGTACTGGTCAGGATAATTTTAATAATTTGTTTAAAGCAGCCGTCTGTAAGTTTTGCCTCATTGTCACCATCTCTGTTGGAAACCTGCAGTTGCAGTTATCAGCTGAATTTTCATGTGTATGTGGTTTGTGCTTCTGCACTGCTCCATCTAATGTTTTGAGCAGTATGTGTAGCTGTTAGTCACTGCACCAGTGTGGATATTCACTTAAAATAAAATTAATCCACTATATCTATTAGAGCAACACTTTGCTTGCATGCTGTAGTTTCACAAGGTTTTTAATACAAAACCTAAACATATAAATGAAAAAAATAAGTCATTCTGAACATAATCAGGCCAGCTCATGAGGATTATCTCATCATATATAAACAGCTAATATCTCCTCACTGCACAACACGAAATGCATTTCTACAGAGAAAAATCTAACACAATAAGTCAAGGGTCAAGAGCCAACTAAAGCAAACACTTATCTCCATGATGGTGACATAATTTTAACCAATAAAACATCAACATCTGATCCTCTGTAATTCTCAATAACAGCAGGTGTTCATCACTAATGCACAATCATCATTTAATTAGTCACTTAATTATCTCATTAACTTTACAACAGAGGGAATCCCTTAACACTAAGGCAACTCAAGTACAATCTCCAGGTTCTAGCTGAGCTGAACTGGTGCATTTAATATAAATCTTAACCTAATTTTAAACTCAATGCGAGGGTTAATTAAGTGATTGATGGTTGTTCCGTTGTATGCAATTGCACATATTGCTGTAAACTTGGGAATTCACATTTTTACTCTCTTAAACTCATTCTTTCCTCACTTTCTCTCTTCCTGCAACTTGTGTGAATGTGTGAGTGCGTGTGTTTATGTGCTAGATTAGTTTATATGTCTTAGATTTATCCAATAAAGCCTTATTTATATTGCAAAGAGAAGTATCTTGTGTTTTGTGCTTACAAGTTAATGTCTTAAACTGCCGACCTTGTTACTGTGCTAATTAATAGTGTTTTCACTATATTTTGGATTTTAATATCCAACTGAGTAGATGCTGTAGGCTACGGCTCGTTCTAAGTATCGCTCGCCGACTCAGTGATCAGCCGTAAAACAGTGATTCTGTCCAAATTCCCTATAAAATCTTAAATGATTCCCTTTGAGCTAAATTGACCTTGTTTCCAGTGCTTGAAGTGGAAAAAAACAAGTGCCGGTCCCACCCCCCACCCACACATTTATTTATTTATATTTAATAAATAAGTACTTTTTAATAATTCACAATATATGTATAGTGCCACAATCAATCAATCAATAATTAAATAAAAGTTTTCAATACAAATTAGCACAAGTCAATCTGCAACACCAAACAGGACCACAGGGAGACGCCAAAGACCACTAAACCAACTATATGGATCCATTCAGAATCGCTAAACCTCTGACCACCTTCAGCCAGCGTCTATAATAAAACACTCGTGCTTTTAAGCCAAATACACGCTGAACAGAATAATTGAATGACATCTGGAC